AGCTGATTGTCCCTCACATGTTAATGTTTATAAACTTCTTTTTTTTAATTTGAGGTTGTTTTTTCTGATTTTAAAAGAAACAGGTGGAACTTTAAAGAACTAAACATTAAAAAAAAAAAAAAACACAGACGGGTTTGAAAAGCAGCAGCTTCCTGTCTGAAGAGGAAGTGACGTCACGCCGACTCACCTGACTCCGATGAGGAGGGCGATGAGCATGGAGCAGATGGGGTCGGCGATCATCAGCTCGTACTTCTGCATCAGCAGGGCGGAGATGATCACGCCCACGCTGCCCAGCGTGTCGGCGATGATGTGCAGGAGGACGCCTGCAGCAGCCGTTCAATCAAAACTTTATTTWAACTCAATTCACAAGCAAACGTTTGATTTATAGTTTGTTATTAAATCTATAYTAAGTGTTGGATTTGTTCAATGAGTCTGTTAGTGTAACATCTAATGTGTTATGGTGGGAGTGCGCCCCCTGGTGGTCTCTGGGGTTCATTACAGGAACTAAAATCAGCTGATCTCAGGTTTCAGTTTCAGAGACCAGCTGAGGACATGTTGGACTTGTGAGACACGTTCAGGACAGAACCGTCTCCTGATGGATTTGGACATGTTGGACTTGTGAGACACGTCCAGGACAGAACCGTCTCCTGATGGATTTATAATTCAGGAAGTTGGTTCATCTCTTTTGTTCGTTAGTGTTTGTGTTGTGGGGGGTTCTGTATGAGGGTTTTAAAGTTCTCACCCTGCAGGATCTGTTTGCTGGAGCCTGATCCCGGCTCGTCTGAAAGAATAAAAAAAACAAGATGTGAGAAAAACAACGTGTCCAACATGTGTCCCTCGTCTTCAGACCATCGGTTCAACTGATTCTCACTGTGAAAGTGTGGTTCCTCGTGTCCTCCGTGGCTGTGTCCGTGTCCTCCGTGGCTGTGTCCGTGTCCTCCGTGGCTGTGTCCGTGTCCTCCGTGGCTGTGTCCGTGTCCTTCCTGCTCTCCGTGTCCTCCGTGTCTGTCCAAGTGTTTGCTGTGGTGCTCCAGTCCTCCGTGGCTGTGGTTCACGCTGCCGTTGAACAGAGAGTGACTGTGGCCG